AAGTAGTATACGTCTTACCCAACTTACTTAACTTATTGACGATCTCATTGAACCTTTTGTTCATGTCTTGGATCGTCTCGCATGGCCCTTTCTTGAAAGATTCGTATTCGGAATTCCCAAGGGCAATCATCGTTTGCTTAGTTGAGACGTCGCCTTCATGAGTAGCTTGTAGCAAGTCCCATACCTCCTTGGCCGTTTTGCATGAGCATACTCGTGCAAATTCATCGGGGCCGAGAGAGCAATGGAGGATGTTGATTGCCTTTGCGTTCATTGATAACTTTCTCTTATCTTCCAACGATAATCCTGCAAAATCACCATTACTCGGCACAAACGGCCCGTGAAGTACATTCAACCATAAATCAAAATCAATAGATTGAATGAAGTATTCCATCCGCATTTTCCAATAGGAATAGTTTTGGCCATTGAAAAACGGAGGGCGGTGAATGCTTTGGGAATCCATTTGAGCCATTTTTCAATAAATTTGAATTTTTAAAAAATTAGGGAAGATAAGGTTTTGAGATCTTAAAATTCAAATTTAAAAGGGACACAACAAGTGGATCTTTGTCGTAGATGCGATTAAGCACTTTCAACTACGAAACCTGGCTCTGATACCAATTGTTAGTCGGTTTAATCGTTGTGCCCACGCCTTAGAGGGGGGGGTGAATAAGGCGTTGAAAATCTTTTCAGAGTTTAATAAAAACGGTGTTGGCAAATGCGGAAGCAATATATAAAACGCTGAAATAAAATCGTAAATAAAATGCACACCGATTTTATACTGATTCGGGAACTCCCTACTCCAGTACCTCGAGGCTCCTCCTCAAGGATTTCCGAATCCACTAAGTTCCGGCCTCTTGAACTCCGTCAAAGCACCGCACTAGTTTGGCAAACAACCCTTGCCAATAGGATTCACTCCGAGATTTCACCACGGCTATCTCAAACCGTTTACAATGAAGATTTAACGGCTATCTTCTACCGCTCCCCCAAGGATTTCAAAGGCTACCCTTGAACCTTTACCCAAGGATTTATACGGCTATCCTTGACCGTTACAATGTGAGAATTTAACGGCTATTCTCGACCGTAAGAAGGTGTGTTTGAAGAACACTAAATAGGATTCTACACAACAGCTAGAATATAAAAATGAAGAACAAAACTTAGCCGGTGTAGAAAGAAAGTATACTCTCTCAAAAATACAATTCAAACTTATGAATATGAGAGTATATAACTAGAAACACAAGCTCAAAGTGTGTGTATAAAAATCAGGAATTTAAGGCTCTTGAAATAACCAAAATATTGAAAATAACTAATAAAATGATGAACACACTTAGAATAAAAAGAGAGGATGTTTAGAGCTTTGTTTCTTAAAGAAATATGAAGGATTAGGCTTGTATTTATAGTGGAAGAGGTTAATTAGCCGTTTGGAGGTGATTAGGGGTGATTTGAATTCAAATTGGCAATTTGCTACAGTGATTACAACGGATCCAGTACCCTTCACGGCAGGGTCTGTACCATCCGGTACCTAGGTACCGTGACCACGGTATAGCCTACCGTTTGAGGGTACCGTGTCTTCCAAAAGTTTGGTTCGCCTCTGGCGGTACCTGGTTAGGACGGGTTCGGCCAACCGTCTATGCCTACCGTCGGTACCTAAGTACCGTTACACGGTATGGGGGTACCGTGTAGGCGGTATACCCTACCGTGTGGGGTACCGCTAGGGGTACCGTGACTCTGTTCTGATTTTTCCAAAATTCCCTTAATCCTTCGTGTTTGAGTTTAAAACCTTTTAGATATTTGAAAATGTTTATGTGATTGTTTTAAACATATTTTGTGAGTGCTTTTGAGCTTGTGAATGTAGGTATATAAATTCATATCCTTACATTGGTTTCTACCTATATTCTACGCTAGTTTAGTGTTTCGACTTCATTCTTGAGTACCGAATCTTAATGGATTCTTGTTTTCCTGAAACACTTAAACAAACGTTAAGCTCTTATATTGTTTGTTAACATCAAAACATGAGCCTTAGCAAACCAAGGCTAACACTTTATAAAACTTGGAAATATTATTTCTAGGTGAAATAAAGTTGTTCATAAATATATTGGACAAAATAATACGTATTAGTTAGTAATTAATTATATATATATTTCGGTATATATATATTACCTAGTAATATATATCAATATATATATATATATATATTAATTGAAAATGGATAATATCATTTTGGAAAGTTATATCTCAGTAAAAAGTAATTTGATTTTTCTAAATATTAAATTTTATAATTTAATGTTTTTGAAAAAATGATTTAAAATTATTTTTGCAATTATTGAGATATACTCCGTAATTAATATATTTGGGAAATAAATATTTATAAAGTCTGGAAATTTATTTTTCCGATTTATAAATTTATAAAATAGTTACTGGAAACTGGAAATTAATTTTCATGATTTTTGAAAATGTATTTCAAATTGAAAATGAATTTTTGAATAAACCTTGCACTAGGGGCAATTTCGTAATTATGTGTTTCCTGAAAAATTATTTTCCAGTTTTGCCCCTGCCCGAAAGTCTCTTAATATATTTAGGATGACTTGGTAAAATTTCATAATTTTTGGACCACTTTATGAATTTTTATGAATTTTAGAAAATATTACCAACGTAGTATTTTTCTAGAATTGTCTGGGGCGAGCGCGGTTCGCCCGGTGTATGTATATCTCTATTGCCTGTGTGGATGTATGGTATGCATGGTGGATGATTGTGGCTTTAGTTATTCATTATTGATGTAATTTAAATACGGTCTGCGTGTCGTGCCTTATCTCAAAACTCTTGTTGTAAATCTATTTCTCTCTCTTACCTCAACCGAGGATTCTTTTCTCACGTGGTGGTTAGAAGATAAAAGGATTTGAAGTCCGTTCGAAGGAAACTAAAGGAATGGAGATAGCCCAAAGTCCAAGTGCCTGGAAGTTAATGGGAGCTATCGTTCTATTTTTCCTTTAGGGGCCACAATCATTACACGTTTATTTACTGCGTATTTTGAATGCATGTGAATGTATGTTTTACGCTAGTAAATTAATACGTGCGCGGCATGTGTCGTAGGTGAGATCGTAATTAATATAAAATCCCTCGAAATATTAAGTCTGTATTGCCTTTCGGCTAATGTGCACTATCACGTACTCAGCCCTAGTAGAGCGTATTACGGTGTATGTTATGCTGGTCACGGGAATCACTTAAGTGGTCATTGTCAGAAATTGGGTTAGACTTAACTGAGTCTCGATCAAATGGATGGATGACTCAGAGGCGGGTTTTGTTGGGGTCACTATACTGACAAGTCGAATTACTCTACTCACTCATCCAGCCAGAAGTTGGGTCTCTATGACTTAGGCTCCGTTCCGTTCAACTTATTTTTTCTGATCTGATCTGATTCTAATAAGTTCTGATCTGATCTGGTCTGATCTGATCTGATCTGATCTGATTGGATCTGATCTGATCTGATCTGATTGGATCTGATCTGATCTGATTGAATCTGATCTGATCTGATTGGATCTGATCTGATCTGATTGGATCTGATCTGATCTGATTGGATCTGATCTGATCTGATCTGATTGGATCTGATCTGATCTGATTAATTATGATTTAATTTAAAATTTTAAATCAATAATTTAATTTGACTTAATAATAACGTTTGAAAATTGTAATGATAATTCATATTATAATATAATCAACATTTTTTATTTAATGATTATTTTTTAATAAAATAAAATAGTCAATTCATATATTAGAATAATCATTCATATTATAATGTAATAATATTTTTATTTTATGATTATTTTTTTGTAAAATTAGAATTATACATTAGAATAAATATTTAATTTAGATATACATTAAAAATACTCCGTAATTAAATTTTGATAATCAATATATAGAAGAGATAGTATTTTTATTAAGATATCTCATCCTTATAAAAGATCAAAAGTTTAGAAACTCAAATTATAAGTAGCAATAAAAATATATTTTAAAAGTAGAATTAGATTGACAATGTAATAATGATGATGATGATGATGATGATGATGATGATGATGATGATAATAATAATGATAATGATAATGATGATAATAATAATAATAATAATAATAATAATAATAATAATAATAATAATAATTCTTGATGGGATCTGATTTTAATAAGTCCTGATCTGATCTGATCTGATTGGATCTGATCTGATCTGATTGGATCTGATCTGATCTGATTAAATCTGATCTGATCTGATTGGATCTGATCTGATCTGATCTGATTCGATCTGATCTGATCTGATCTGGTCTGATCTGATCTAATCTGATCTGGTCTGATCTGATTTGATCTGATCTGATTTTAATAAGAATAAGAAAAAATAAGAAAAAATAAGTTGAACGGAACGGGGCCTTAATTGGGCTTGGCCCTAACTAAAGTAGTTGTGCATATGGTACGTGCCAAAGCCAATCACATGTATGATGAAACGATGTTCTGGTCCGTAAGTAGTATTGTCGTTCGCCCAACACAAGACCAAGAACTGTGAGCGCAGCTCGACAGTTGGAACTATGTTCCTACCTAAATAGTTAAATTCTAGGTACGAACCTCAGGTCAACTAAAATTTAATGATATATGGATCTTGGCCCATTAAGAGATTCTCTAGGAGAATCTCCGAATCAATATTGAGGGTTGTTGGTTTGTTAAAATAGTGTGAAATAATTAATTAAAAGGCCTAATTAATTATTTAACATGATAGATAACCTAGTTTGCAATTTCATTCTGTAGATGGCATCCAATAACACATACAGTCATTCCATCAACCTGCGCTATATCCTTGAGAGCCAAAAACTCTCTGGGGAAAACTTTCTTGATTGGGAGAAGAACCTCGGAATCGTTCTTGACTGTGAGAGGAAACTTTACATCCTCGAAACTGATCCTCCCAAGACCCCTAAAGCAAATGCTCGTGCGTCCGAACTCACTTCCTTCAAGAAGTATGAGATATTAAGTGTATCATTATGGCAAGTATGACCGCAGAGCTCCAAAGGCTCCACGCGGACATGGAAGTGCGTCCAATGATACAACGCTTGAGAGACCTTTACCAGGGTCAACCCCAAATCTCAGATATTTACGTTATCGAAGTCAATATGTCTGATTTCACCTCTTGGGTTATGGATACCGGATGTGGTTCTCACATCTGTACTTCTATGCAGAATTTACATGAAGTTAGACATTTGACTGAGGGAGAAGTCCAGCTTAAGGTCGGAAATGGAGCACTTGTCAATGCGCTGGTTGTAGGAACTTATGTTCTATCTCTCCCTAGTGGCTTGTTGTTGCATTTAAACAATTGCTTGTTTGTACCTGCCATTAGCAGGAATATCATTTCTGTGTCCTGTCTTGACAAAGCAGGATTTTCAATTAACGTCAAAGACAAGTGCCTTTCAGTTTTCAGAAATGATATTTACTATGCAACTGCTAAGATGACCAATGGTCTTTATATCTTAGACTTAGACACCATTGTTTATAACGTAGATGTTAAGAGAAGCAAACCAAACAGTTTGAATCTCACATACCTTTGGTAGACCTGGCAAATCAGTCGGTCAGGTCGGGTTCGGGTTCGGTCACCTTGGGTTCGGGTTACTTCGGGTTCGGATAAGTTCGGGTTCGAGTTGATAACTACATATTCATGACCCAGTGTCATCGGATTCGGGTTGACCCAACGGGTTATGAGTTTCATTTTTTTTTTGAAATTTTAAGTAATTTTTATGACTTAGTGTCAATATTACGAATAAAAAAATTAAATATGTAGAAATTTTTAAAAAATGTAAGATAATTATGCGACATCATTAAAATTTGTTATGATGGTATAAATCTATACACAAAAAATGAGTAGTAAGCAAAGAAATATAATTATAATCTTATTTTCATAACACTATATTTCATATTAAAATGTATGATTCTGAAAAAATCTTAGATTAGCGGGTCGGTCAGGTCGGGTTCGGGTTCGATCGGGTTTGACCCATTTTTAGCGGGTCATTTCGGGTTCGGTCAACTTCGGGTTCGGATAGCAAAACCTTTGTTCAAAACCCAGTATTTTCGGGTCGGGTCTCGAGTCAAAAACAGGTCGGGTCATTTTTTGCCAGGTCTAACCTTTGGCATTGTCATTTGGTCCACATTAACGAGAAATGCCTATCTAAGTTACGTCACTCTGGCGTACTTGATTCATTTGACCTCGAGTCCTATGATGTATGCCAATCTTGTTCACACGGTAAAATGACAAAGGCTCCATTCACTGGTCACGGTGAAAGGGCGAGTGATGTTGATAGGCGTGTCGTAGCACCTACAAATTAATTTATTATTTTCCTTAACTCTTAACCCTCTTTATGATTCAATATTCATCAAAACATATAGATAGGGTAAGTAAGGGTCGATCCCACGAGGAAAGATACTTTTTAGGCTATGAAAATCAGTTTACTCTGTCACATTTATTGAATAAAAACTAACTAAAATCTAAAAACTAAAACTAAAACTAAAGGATATGGGGGGTTTGAATGATAATTCTAAAAAGACAAAAATGCAAATAAAATAAAGATAAGGATAACAGTCTAGAGATGGAACCACAGCAGCAACTCGAACTCAGAAGAACACTTAGGGAGAAAACAAACACACAAAAACAATCACACAATAAACTTTATAAAAACGTAGACAATAATAATTAACTTAAACCATTTTGAAAATACTTATAGTTTTTAATAGAAAATAAATTGAACAAATCTGATTAATTAATTAATTATGTCTTGATTCTGAAATTAAACTGCTAATTAAACTCAGGGTTAGGCTGAAGAAGAGGTCCACCAACGATTCTTCCCTATTTTTCCATTCATATTAGCTCATGTTAAGACCAACCCTAACTATAAACCCTACTACCCTTAGCAACCCAAAGACCAACCCTTAAGTTACTACTAAGAATAGCGCATTAAGATTTGTGGAAAACATCACCATAACAATCTTGCAGTAACACTACGGTTATTTAACAAAATCAGTTCGAAAACCTTGATTAGCAAAAACCACTTAACGAGGCAG